CCCTTCCTCCTCCTCCCTTCCTCCTCCTCCCTTCCTCCTCCTCCTCCTCCTCCTCCTCCCTTCCTCCTCCTCCTCCTCCTCCTCCTCCCCTTCCTCCTCCGGGTAATCATGACATACTTCTCTGCAGTTGCAACAAATGGTGAAGAAATATGCCCTAAACTGAGGTGATCTCCCTCCCTCCCTCCCTCCCTCCCAATCCCTCCCTTCCCTCCCTCCCTTCCTTCCCTCCCTCCCTCCCTCCCTCTCTCGCGCTTCCTCCCTCCCTCCCTCCCTCCCTCACGCCTCCACACTCCATCACCATCTGGTAAAAGTACATCAGGTTGGATGCGGATCGTCCATTTTCCCCTGTCGGGGATACGGAGGAGGAGGAGAAGAGGAAGAAGCAGGAGGGAGCTCTCTTCCAGACTGCAGCGATTCAGGAGGAGGAGATCATCCTCGGAAAGAAGGTGAGGGGTAGGAGAGCGATGAGGAAGAGGAGGAAGGAGGGGCGATGAGGAAGAGGAGGAAGGAGGAGGGAGGGAGGAGACAGGGGGAAGGAGGGAGGAGGGAGAGACTGACGAACTCGTCTCAGCTAGGAGAAGGGGAGCAGGGCTGTGTGTACCAGGGGCAGTGGAGGGGGAGGGCGGTGGTTGCCAAGGTGCTCAAGGGCTGCTCCTGCGCTTGCAAGGAGAGGGAGAGGAGCAGGAGAGATTTTCTCAATGAGATCCGCGTCCTTTCCCGCATCCACCACCCGAACTTGATCCACTTCTTGGTATACCTCCTCCCTCCCAGCCTCCTCCCACTCAACTCCTCCTTGCCTCCTTTCTTCTTACCTCCTTCTCATCCTCTTTGTTTCTCCTTCCTCCTCCTCCTCCTCCTCCTCCTCCTCCTCCTCCTCCTCCTCCTCCTCCTCCTCCTTCCTATCACTTCCCCTTCCGCGCTCTCTTCTCCTGCTCTTTCTCAATCATTCACTATCCTCCTCCCCTCTGTACCTCCTTCACAATTCCTCACTTCCTCCTCCGCAGGGGGCGAGCGCGAAGGAGGAGCCGACGCTCTTCCTCACGGAATTCATGGAGGGGGGCAACCTGCAAGAGTTCTTCGAGGCCAAGGGACGCGCATGGCGGCCCTCCCTCCTCCTCGTCCTCCAGTGGGCGCGCGACCTCGCTCGTGCCCTCTGCTGCCTCCACTCGCACACTCCTCCGATCGTCCACAGGGACCTCAAGCCCTGCAACCTGCTCCTCTCCGCGTCCGGCCACCTGAAGCTCGCCGACTTCGGCCTCAGCCGGTGAGGGAGGAATGGGAGGGAACGAGGCAGGGGCAGTGGAGAAGGCAGAGGCAGGGGAAAGCGAGGAGGAGGAAGATTCTGATTGATTTTAGGGTTCTTGGAGGAGGCAACGAGACTTCAACCTACACCATGACAGGCGTGACAGGAACCTTGAGGTAATCCCTCCTCCTTGACTCCCTCCTCCCTCCTCTCTCCTCTCGGCTCCTCTTCCTGCTGCTCTGTCCCTCTCTTGCTCTCTTTCCCCTCTCACCTTTCTTAGCAACTGCTTCCTCCTCCTCCTCCTCCTCCTCCTCCTCCTCCTCCTCCTCCTCCTCCTCCTCCTCCTCCTCCTCCTCATCCTCATCCTCATCCTTTCGTGCAGGTACATGGCACCAGAAGTCGTTCGGTGCGAGCCCTACAATCAGAAGGTGAGCGAAGGGATCTTGAGACCGGCCAAGGAGGTGGGGGGAAGGGGGGACGGAGAAGAGGAGGGAGAGCGGGAGGAAGAGAAAAGCAGAGCACGAGCACGAGCAGGAGGAGCACGAGGAGCACGAGCAGGAGACTGACAGGAAGCAGGTCGACATCTACTCGTTTTCTCTCGTCCTCTGGTTCATGTGCACGGGTGAGATGCCCCTGCGCTCATGCAGCCACAACGACTTCGTCATGGCGGCTCGTAGGTGAGGACAAGAGCAGACCAGCACTCCTCCCTCTCCTCCCTCCACCCTCCATCTCTTCACCCTTCCTTTCTCCCTCCCTCCACGACCTGAAAAACGCTCTCTTTCTTCCTTCTCCTTTGTTTCGTATCTCAAATTCAACCAGGAAGCAAAGGGTCCGGCCCCCGCTCTACCGCATCCTCTATAAAACCCTGGCCGGTAATTCTCTCCTCGCTTCCCCCCCCCCCTCTCTTCTACTCCTGTCTCCTGTCTCCTTCTCGTCTCTTCTCTTCTTCTACTCCTTCCTCTCCTCTCCTGCTTCTCTCTACTCGCTCCTCGTCCCTCTTCTTCTCTTCTCCTTCCTCCCCTTCCCTCACTCTGGATGCAGACCTCATGGCAAGGTGCTGGGACGACTCCTCCTTAGCTCGTCCCTCGGCTCTTCAAATCCTGGGAGAGCTGGAGGCGATGAATCCTCCCGACCCTCTCCTGCCCGCTGCCTCGCCTCGCCCGTCCCCTTCCTCTCCGGAGTACTACCTCAACTGATAACCTCTTCTCTCCTTCCTTCCTCTTTCCTCCTGCTCTTTATCTGTTTCCTCCTCTCTTTTCTTGTATATTCATTCATTCCTGTACGTTAAGATGTAAACTATCGCTTTTAGTACGCAAACTCTCGTACGCCAACTCTTCTTCCCTCTCCTTCTCCTCGCTATTTCTCTCCTCCTCCTCCTCCTCGTCCCTCTCCCTCCTCATGCCACAGCTGGCTTGCCTTCTCCAGGAGGAAATCTCGAGACAACGATGCCATGTACCTTGCGAGCGACGTCTCTCGTCCAAGTTCTGAGGTGCCGCACAGCTATCACACTCCTCTTGCTGACCTCCTCCTGCACCACTTCCCATCCTCCTCCTCCCCACGACTGGATGCAGCGATTGAGCTCCTCCAGGTCCTGCGTCAACCGCCGCTGAACTGCTTCCTGATATTTCTTGTCTCCAACTACTGTGGGCAGGTTCTCAAACCTCCTCCTCACCTCCTCGTACGCCCTGAGCGTCTTAGCCCACACCCACTCCCTCGCCGGCTTGTCCCAGTAGAGGAAGGCGGCGATGGCTGCTGGGATGGAGAGTTTCACGGTTGTGGCCAGCACTCCTCCTCCTGCTCCTCCTGCTCCTCCTCCTTGCTGCTCCATCGCAATCCTGTCCTGCTTCCCCACCACATCCCTCACGAATCCTCTCGCTTTCGTCACTCCATCGTTGAGATACTCGCGCTCGATGTTGAGGGAGGAGAAGTAGAGCAGCACGTTTTTCACCACCGGAACCTCGTTCATCCTCTTCCCCTGGAACTCCAACTGGAGCAGCTCCCGAGACAGCATCTTCATGAAGTTTCCTGTGCTCAGCAGCACATCAGTGACCAGCTCCTTGTTCTCGCTCAGCGCTGCCCCTGCGAGCACTCCTCCTGCTAAGTACACGATGCCGCGGACCATGGCGATCGCTGCGGACTTTGTTAGCACTGGAATGCATCTTTCATGACATTGTCAGCGCTGAAGTGCATCTTTCACGCCCTTGGAGTTTCTCCTGCCCCCAACGCTTTATCGTGCAACTCAGGCATCATCGTTATCAACATGGTCGGCTGCATCTACTACTCTCCTATCTCCGTCGTCACATCTCAAACGAAACCTTGTTGTTACATCTCCATCCATCTCACTGCCAACACCTTCCTTGCCATTCAACCTCCACTCTCATCGCATTCTCTTCCTTCACATGACCTCTCGTTACCAACTCCGCTGATCAATCGCTCCCTCACAATCATCCATCCCATTCCCCCTTCCCTTTGCTCCACAACGACCAGCAAAATATCCTTCAACTCAATACATCCTATACATCAGACAGGAGAGGATCTTCGAAAACTTGTAGCTCCTCCATGCTCTGCTTCCTCTACGTTTACATCGCATCTTCCTCTTGCTTCCCTTCCCCTTCTCCTCCTCCTCCTCCTCCTCCTCCTCCTCCTGCGCTCCTACCGCCCCTCATTTCGAATGAAACGTTTCTTGCCATTACCGATCACCCACCCCACCCCCTTATGTTCATCCTTGAATTTCCCACCCCCTACCATATCGTTCAAAATTACTACCCACCTCGATGAAACATTTTCTGTACCCCACCATAGAATCTATCGAAAACAAATTATGATATAGGGGGTGGTATAACCTCCCGTAACACTAATTTCAACCACCACCTATCTACCCCCTCCCCTACCACCCACCTGCCACCCCTACTCCCACAAAGGTTCAATTCAACCACTACCACAACCCCAAACACACCCCACCCACTTGGATCACAATGTCCGCAGTTCATGAAGTACCCCCTATTTATCCTATTAGGTACCCCTATTTGATGGGATTCTTCATTCGACTGGTCACCCCACCCCTTCATTCATACCACCCCGTACGCACTTTGTGACGATTGCAACGAGGGGAGATCCGCCCCAAACAATTTTAAATTTCGGTTGAAATATTTCTAACCTTTTCGCCATAATTTCAAATAATCCAACATAAGTTACCTACAAATTCAGGAAATTCGCTGGCCCCCGACGTCCCTTCCGGGCCGTCAAGAGAGACTTTTGAAAAACAATTTATACGTTTATAATTATTGGCTCTAAAGTTTTATATTTCTAAGTACAAATTTCAATGTAAAACAGTCTCAGAATTTCTGTACGCAACTTTGGGGGTCACTTGTGACTAAAATAACTAAACATTGTGGTACATTCATGCCATGATTTCAAAAAGGCGTGTACCGTCAGCGCGACGCGGCCGGGCGCCGCCTCGTGACGGCCCGGCCCGGCCAGCAGGCTTACGACGGCGGCCGCGTGGCCGCCAGTAGTGACTCGGAGTCCCGGTCGGGCCTGACCGTCAGGCGGCCTGAGCCGCGCGGCTACGGCGGCCCGGGCGTACGGTACCCGGGCGGGTCTCCCGGGCCGGGGCCCGGGGTCGCCCGCCGTGAGTCGGACCGCGGGGGGGCCCAGTGGGGTGACTCAGTCCGACTGTACCGGGTCACCGGGGCGCGGCGCGCCAGGCGGCGTCCGATACACCGTGGCACGGTCGGACCGTACCGGCGTACTCCCGGCGCCGGGACTCGGACTCGACGGTACGGTACCCGGCGTACGGTAGTACGGTCGGCGGTCACTGTGACCGCCGGGTCCGGAGTCCGGCCCGACGCCGGTGACTCGTCGGGCGGCCGGCCCTGCCACGGTGGCCGGCCCGCCGCCGAGTCGTCGGGCCGGTGACCGTCTGATGCCGCCGTTCGCCGGGATCAGCCTGATGATGGTCACCCGGCCGGGCGCCCCGACGGCGGTCGGTCGGTCACCCGGTCACTGGCCGCTCAGCCGCGCTGAGTCACTGTGTTAAGCCTGAGGTGACGGTTGGAACTCTGAGGCCGCGCTCCGGCGAGAACTCGCTCCGAGCGGAGTCCCGCCGAACTTCGCGCCCCGGCCTGGCCCGGCCGGACCGGGCGGCCCCGCGGGTGCCGCAGTGCCTGGCGCCGCCGCGCGCGGCTGATCAGGGCGGCGGCCCGGCCCGGGGACTCCCCGACAGGAGGCTGAGTCAGCCTTCCGAGACTGAGTGATAGAGTGATAGCCGACTGTCGCCGGACTGGCGAAGGTCGGATCGGATGAGCTGCCAAGTTGAGAGTTGGCGCCAGTTGACCCCCGGCCGGGCCCTCATCAGTTGAAGGCTGGGCCCGCCAGCAAAGTGTCTGAACTTCCTTGTACGTCATGCCACTCTGAATTCTGTCGCCACGTTTCATTAGAAGTGAATGCTGGGATAACATACAAAAAAGTGTCAGACAACCCCAAGAGGGGCGTCGTGCTTGCAATGGAACAGCAGGGCAAGACGTTGCGGCTCAGCTCTTGTACCACTCTTCGCCTTTCCCACAGAAGCAAGCGCAGTCCTCGGCCTTTCCCTCGTCGTTGACGATGGAAGCAGGAGTGTCTGCCGGCGAGCCACTGACGCCCACCTTTGAATACCTGCAGATACAGTCAGAGGTCAGAGGGGAACAGACAGGGGAGGGGGTTGACCAAGTGAGAGGAAAGCAAAAGGACGAGAAGGAACGAGCACGAGCACGGGCAGGGCAAGGGTCAAGGAAACGGAAAGGGGAAGGGGAAGGGGCAGAGGAAGTGGAAGGGGAGGGGCAAGGAAGGGTGGTGTGGGGGCGCAGGAATCGAGGAAGAGGGATGAAGCTCACCCAGTCGCACAACGGAACTTCTTCGATCCGCTGGAGTAGGTGCAATGCTTCATGCACGTGCAGCCGTAATGCGCATCACCCGATGCTGAGCCGAAGAGCGCCACGTCCTCGATCGGCGTCCAGCTCGAAGTTCCAGCTGGAGGGGCCAGAACGGATACCCCGAGATCGTTGCACTGCGGATGGCCGACGTGCTGGGAGCACCAACCCTGTCAAAGGACGTTATGCCCAGCTGGTGTGGCTCCTCAGCTCGATCACCTGCCCGACATCGGTGTAGCAGAGTCTGTTGGCGTCAGTGAACCGGCATCCCACAGTCTCAAACGACTGAACGCAGTCTGCCGCCATGCACTTGGCCATCTGCTGCATCTGCTGTGGCGCGACCTTGAAGTCCTTCTGATCCCTCCAGTCGCTGCACTTGATGTTCAACCCCTTCGCATTGTCTGGCATGGGCTCCACTGTATCGGCTGGGGGAGGAGGGGGTGGGGGAGGGGGCGCTGAGCCCTCCGAGTCAGACCCGGAGCCGGAGCCGGAGCCGGAGCCGGAGCCGGAGCCCGAGTCTCCTCCACTTGGTCCATTGCTTCCTGGAATTACAAGGGGGGTGACTGGAGCAGGGTTTCCACCCACCATGCCCCTACAAGGATAGTAAGAGACAAGACAAGAACATCTTGATCACTGCCGCTGACCTTGGCCCTTGCTCGCCGACAGGTCCTTCGGGTCCGACAGGACCAGGGGGGCCCATAGGTCCTGGAGGCCCAACTCTTGAAGGCTGTAGCAGCAGTCAAGCAGTGATCGGCCGCAGGCTCCAAGGCAGGGAAGCAGCATTCGAAGAGATTCTACAGGCGACACGTAGATGGAAACGCAAACGATAGAGCAAGCAGAATATTGACCCCCCTCTACACCCCACCCGACGCAACACATGCATCACGACACTGACAAAGGGGCTTCACCTGAGCAGGCCCAGGCTCGCCGGCAGGACCAGTGGGACCATCCTCGCCTACCATTAATCTCAATGGACGCACATCAGCAAGCAATTGCAAGACCTGGGTAACCATTGGGCCCTGTGTCTCCTTTTGGCCCCTCTTTCCCGGGCGCACCGACACGTCCCTAAAGCACGAGTCCTCTTAGTAACCCTGCGCTAGGACTGCCCGCACCTCCTCTCTCACCTCCGGGCCTGGCAACCCTCTCTCTCCTGGAGGTCCAACCTGCCCCTCTGGGCCTTGTGCTCCATCAATCCCGTTGTCCCCTGCCTCCCATGAGTACCTTGCCCCAACACGCCACGGCCGTCTCTACCTGGAGGGCCAGGCTTGCCGATGGGTCCTCTGGGTCCTGGAGGTCCCTTGGGGCCTGGCGGTCCTCGGGGACCATCAGGTCCAGGAACCAGGTTCGTGCCCTGCAGGAGAGGAGAGGGTTCAGCATGGAGGACTGCAGGTCGCTCTGTTCCTAACCTGTTCCACAGCAATCTCCGTGCCACGAGTGTTCTCCAGTCTCTCCGCCATCTTCCTGAGGCTCTTCTTGAGACGATCCTGGGCCTGCAGGATCGAGTCCAGCTGTCCCACTTCTTCTGAGCTGATCTTTGCATCATCCGAGGCGATCGAGTCCTTAGTCCATCCCCACAGCTCTACGCGGGACGAGGAGAGTCTCTGTAAGCATGCCGTCAGAGGCTATACTGCACTTCTTCAGCAACATTTCACTGCACGCACTCTGCAGAAAACCTCGACATCTCTCTCACTTATTCAACCTTGCACTCGCATATGGTTTACACTTGCATAAAACAACAGTTGGATTGCTCTCGACATAACGAAGACAGAAGGAAACCAGACCATATACAACAACAGTCTCTCTCGGGTACAAATCAACTGAAGCAGTTAGGAAGTAACCTTTTGAGACTCTTTCTATCATTCATTCCCTCCTGCTCTGCCCTTTCTCCCCTCCACAACGAGTACAAACATGTCCAATTCTGAGGCAGAATAGGCAACAAGGTGATCAGCATGTCGTAACTTCACTTGCTCATGTTCACTTTTCACCACCTCTTTCCTCACCGTGTAAGCCACGAGTGCCGCCATCAGCATCGCTGCCGCGGCTGCTCCCCTCGCGCCATCGCGCCATCCCCGCGCGCGATCGCCTGCCATACCCCTTGCGAAGAGCCAGCTCATCACCCCTACCCCCTGTTTTTCCATACAATGACCCACCTCTGAGATATCACCAGTAACCACCCAACATTTGCCATTACCTGGACCCACCATGATGGCTGTACCCTGACCCTATCTTTGAACGCTAATACCACCGGTGATAATGTTGCTACCTACCCTGAGAAAAGTATGTCAATTCGTTGGAGAAGGTACCGGTGGTAGAGACATAGGGGTACTTGTCAACAGAGAGCAGTGATATTGACCCCTACCCCCTAATTTCCCCATGAATGTCCTTCTCCAACCACCCCTCCGACACCATCATATCGCCCACCCACCCGTGTACTCCCAGTCGGGCTCCGCCACATAAAGGGAAAAATGCGGATCCATGATAGACGTACAGGGGAGAGAGTATGGAATGGTGGTGGTGGTGGTGGTGATGATGATGTTGACAATGATGATAAGAAGAGAGAAAATTTCACATGTTGAGGTGATGCTGGCGGATCTATGTGAAGAAACTTGCTCGAGAACACGGAAGGAGAGCGAGAATCAACGAGATGTAACGATTCTGGTTGTACACAGAAAGAATAGGGCAAGAGAATGTAAGGCTGAGATAGGATAAGGATAGGCAGCGAGAGATGAAGAGAAGGAGGGGAGGGTGGGATAGATGATGGTGTGTGTGTTTGAGGGGGGGGAGAAGAAACCGACGGGTCTAAAGCTCCACATGCTCATATTCCTTCGCAGATGTGCTCAACAAGGACTACCCTGCAATAAGACCTTCTAGAGTATCCAACAATCTCTCTGTCGTTTCCTAATCCACTCCCTTGCTCCTGCTCCTCCTGCTCCCCTGATCATTTCACCCCCCTGATCCTTGTCGCTCCTCATCATGGTGATCCTCGCGACTTTAGCCAAGTCCGCCTGCAGGAGCAGCATGTTACGAGGATCTCACCGGCAGCTCGTCAGGATCTCAGGTGGTCCCAAGGCTGGAGCATGGAAGCTCGTCTCGTTCCGCCGCATGCTCGTGGGCTGCGGTATGGGGGTAGCAGCTTCCTCCGTTATCCTCATCACGTCTGCCTCCTGCCAGTCGGTGAGAGAGTACGACTTCGTCATTGTAGGAGGAGGAATGAGCGCGGTAGGAGGACTAGTGGGCCTGCGAGAGGAGAACCCCCAGAGCTCGGTGGTGGTGGTGGGAGGAGAGATGGGCACGTTCAAGCGTCTGCTGGAGGAGGAGGGGGCGGAGATGGCGAGGAGGACAAGGGTGGGGACTGTTGCCAGCGCCAAGGAGATGCAGAATGTTGGGTTCGAGGTTGCTGAGGTGGAGGAGCTGGACGTTGATGGGCAGATGATCGTAATGAAGGATGGGCAGAGACTGAGGTGGCGACGGGGCTGCCTGCTTGCAACAGATCCGCAGGTAAGAGGAAGACCTCGCAGTTGCTAGAGATTGTCATTGTCATCATCGTCATCATCGTCGTCATCATCGTCATCGTCATCATCATCATCATCGTCATCGTCATCATCATCGTCAGCATCAGCATCAGCATCAGCATCAGCATCATCATCGTCATCATCATCATCATCGTCAGCATCAGCATCATCATCCGCATCATCATCCGCATCATCATCATATCATCATCATCATCCGCATCATCATCATCGTCGTCGTCATCATCATCTCTATAGTCCTCGCCATCATCATCCTCACTCTTGAGCTCTAGGTGGAGAAGCCGCATGAATTCGTCCTTGACGCGTCCTCGTCCTCCCGTGTCAAGTTCGTCGGTGATGGCGAGGAGAAGCTCAAGTTCGTTGACGACAAGGATGCGCACGTGGTGGTGGTGGGGGGAGGAGCCGCGGCTTGTGCTAAGAGCACGGAGCTCGTGCGGGAGGGCGTCAGAGTCGCGCAGATCTTCGAGGAAGGAACGCCCATGGCTCGCCTGCTCCCCCACTACGTCGGCTCCTACATCATATGGCACCTCAAACGGCTCGGAGTAGACGCGCAGGTACTGACAATCGAGGTCCCTCTGTTATACCGACCAACCACCCCCCCTTCTACTCTCCTTGCCCCACACTGTACCCCCTGTTCCTTGTTTCCCTTGCATACCCCCTCATCCTTCCCGCTCCTCTCCCTCGTCCTCCCATCCACCCACCTCACCGTTCCTCTCGTCCTTCCTCCCCCATCCCTCTCATCCTGCCCACCTCCTCCTCTGTCTCTGGTTGTGGTCTCTCTTCCTCGATCTCTTCCCCGTCTCCTTCTGTGTAGTTGTCTCCTCATGTTTCCGTCTCTCACATGGTCTCAGCCCTACTCGAAGCTGCAGTACTGCCGCGCATTGGGGCAGGAAGACGCAAAGGGAGACAAGCAGCTGGAGGGGGTGCTGGAAATCTACGTAAGGAGGACATACGATGCTCTAGATGTCAAGAAGTACATCACAGACTTCCTCCTCTACTTCGCGCAGAAGATCAAGTATCCTCCCCTCCCTTCTCCCTCCTCCCCCTTCCCTCCCCCTTCCCCGCTCCCCCTCCTCCCTTTCTCCTCCTTCCTCCCTCGTCTTACTTGCTTCTCTCACACTTTCCCGCAGCTTCTCGTCAGGCTATCTCCTGGCCAACGCTACCAACTCTCTCGAGATGTTGCCCTCCGGCGAGCTCATCGCCAACTGCGAGCTCTGCCTCCGCTCCTCCCTCTTCGCAGCCGGACCCATGGTCTCCGTTCCTCATCCTCTATTCGGCCGCCTTGTTCTCCAGGACAAGGAGGAGGCCTGGGTCAGCGGGGTCTGTGCGGGGAGGAACATGGCGGGGCGACGGACGGTGTACAGGTAATGAGGAGGACGAGGAAGGGAAGGGGGAGTTTGGACGAGGATGAGGGGAACGAGGAAGAGGGCAAGATGAGGGAGAGTGAAGCAGGAGAGGGGGAGGAGCAAGGAGCAAGGGGGACGAGGACGAGGACGAGGACGAGGGAGGAGGACTGACTTGAGTGGGCAGGCACGTCCCGGTTCACAACTCAGTGAAGCTGGGAGGAGATTTTGAGCTGCTGTGCGTGGGGGAAGTGAACTCGAGCTTGGAGACCGTCGGGTTCTGGTCGATGAGGAGATGGCAAATGCAGCAAGAACCCAGCACAAACGGCATGCCGAGGAGGCGATCCAGTGGAAGAGGAGGAGGAGAAGACGACTTTCTCCCGGTGATGCCACAAAGCGGTGTGCTCTACTTCCTGAAGAAGGAGCGAGGAGAGCGGGGAGGGGGCACGGAGGAAGAGAAGCGGCTGGTGGGCGTTGCCCTGGTCAACATGCCGGAGGGAGGAGCGGAGGTGGCGCGGGAGGCCATCAGGCAGCGGAGGAGGGTGAGGGAGGGAGAGGACCTGCGGCAGCTGATCGCCGTGGAGAGTTGCGAGAGCGGGCAGAAGGCGCTGAAGAGGACGACAGAGGGGAAGGCGAACGCTGCTCCTCCTCCGCGGCACAACACGGTCGGGGCCAACAACGACAAGTGGACGAGGGCCATCTTCGGGACGCTGCCGGATGAGCGACCCCCGGGGAAGATGCGATGAAGCCTCGGAGGACCAATGAAGCTGCCGGGCCCGGAGGAACTTGCAGGCCCGGGGCTGGGGGACTCGCCGCCGGGCCAGCCGCCTCGCCGCGCCCGGGGCATGCTGAGGGGTTTCAGTTTGGTGACTTGGATGCGGAGAGGTCGTACTAGCCGATCATGTGTCGGACTCGGACGTCATCAGGGAGAGTTCACGGTTGGAGATCGGACTCGGCTGAGGGCCGTGGGAGCCTGAGCGGTGGGACTCCGGGAGCTGAAAAAGTTCAAGCAGGGCTCACTTTTTGTAATCAGTCAGGACTCTGTGAAGCGGCCCAGTGGCACCTCAACTGACGCGTCGGACGGTCCGACGGTCATGCCAAGATCAACTTGAACGGTTGGTGCCGCGACCGGGTGCCGTCACGGCCGGGCCGCGGGCGCCTGCTCCCGAGTCCTAGCCGCCGCTGGCCCCGGCGGCCACTGCTCCGGCCGACACGACCGTACGGTGGGAGGCTCGGATACTATAGCTGAGCCTCGGAGCGCCCGGAGTTAAGCGTCACAGAGTCTCGGCGAGTAAATTTCCCCTGCCACCGTCAGACTGAGTAAACAGGCTGCCACGGTGCCTTCGACGGCGCCGCAGCCGCGCGGCGGTATGAGAAACCGTTTGAAACCGAGGATCATCCGCCCTCAGTGCTCGGACAGTGCACTGATGACCACGCCGTCATACCGGGCCGCCCTGTCGGATCGGACCGTGGCCGACTCGAACTTGAGTCGCCGCCCGGCGGGGCCCCCGTGGGGGGCCGCGGGCAAGTTACCCCGGGCCGGAACCGTTTCACTACTTGCCGGGCATCTGAGGTAACCAACAAACCGGGCCTCAGGCTCCGAAGAATACCGCTGCCATGGTCCCACCCCCACCCCTGTCCCTGACACTCACAGCTACCCCTGGTCAGCCTAGGACGGTAGTAACAAGGAACGGGACCGTGCCGTCGTGCTGAAGATCACTATGATGAGGGGGGTGGTCGAGAGCCTCTCCCCGTCCCCCCGGAGGGGTGGGGGTTCGAGCATCATGACGATCCGAGTCCGTACAGTCTTAAAAAGGAGAGGGATAGGGGTGGTTGTTACGGTGAGGGAGGGTGGTAGGGTGTTTGGGGGGGGGGGGGGGGGGGGGGGTACTATTGCCATATGGGGAATGCTGTTTTGCTGAACGATCCCCGAAGGAAGGTAGGGGGGTGGGGTGAATACAAGGAGGGGGTGGGGGTGGAAGGGCGGAAGCAGGTAACAGCGTGTCACGGGGGTGAGGGCATAACCTCAAAGATCATTTGCACAGCGGGTAGGGTAGGGTGTTAATACTACCCGTACTGAGAACGTTGAAAAGGGAGGGTTGGGGTAATCAACTCGATCAAGGGTAGGGTACCGCAGGAAAGTTTGTAGATACGAGATGTCCTGGGGTACACCGGCATGGAATTAGTAGGGTAGGGGTACGGTACAGGGGTGGCCCTAGGGTCGACGACAATGTGTTGGAACAAACGATGAGCGACGGGAGGGCCAGGAGGAGGGAGAATGAGCAGACGTGTTGTGGTAGGACAAGATGAGTTGGGATGAGATGAAGTAAGACAGGATGAGAAGGACAAGATGAAGTACGATGGGATGAGATGATGTGAGGTAGGATGAAGTTGGATGGCACGAGAAGTACTAGGATGATGTAGAACTGAAGGTGCAGCATGAGATGGTGAGGCGATGCTGAACAGATATGGGCATTATTTGATTTCAAAAAGATGGTAGATTGAAATGAGAGCTCGAACTCTCTTGTTGCGCACTGCAGCCGTCGAAAGAGCTCATCTCACCCGTGACATGCAGACGATGCGTTGTTGGAGGATCGGCGCCAGTGGCAGGAGATCGCAGCATGCTGATGGGGCTGCTTCTTGTGGGCGTGCGATCGCTTTCATGTGTTTGCTCTAAAAGGACAAGTCAATGGACGAGTTTCAATCCTGGGACTCTGCCATGAACGGTGACGGAGAGCGTGGGATACCCGAGGAGGATCAATCAAGGGAGACGCGCTCATCCCCAGGGACTGACGGAGAGGAGGACGTTGAGATGTCTGTAGGAGGAAGCGATCGAATTGTACCTCAGCAGCAGGAAGCATCGTTGAATGTGGGGATCCTCCAGGAGCAGAATCGAAGACTCTACTTTCAGCTGCTGCAGAAGGCAGAACGGACGGTGGCTGAGGGTGGGAAAAACTTTCCTCCGATGTTTGTAAAAGAGAAGGAGCAAGAGAAGGAGCAAGAGCAGGAGAAGGAGAAGGAGCAGGAGCAGGAGCAGGAGCAGGAGCAGGAGCAGGAGCAGGAGGAGCAACCTACCTTGTCACAGGTTTACCAGCAAGACGGGGAACAGAATCATGCCGACGCTTTCAATGCCGAGTTCTTCCTTCATCACTTCCAAACGTCGGATGTGCAAGCAAGCAAGCGATCCCTCCGGTTCTCAGAGCCGCAGACTAAGTTGAGCAGCTCGGAGCTGATGATGCCCAACGCCAAGTTCTCATACTTCGATCGCCTTGACCCCTTCTTCCTTCGAAGATACCTCAAGACTCCGCTGGTGTCTCATCCCATGGCGTTGCCGAAGCCTCTGACAGTTGTTGCAGAAACGTCTCAAGAATCAGTTCACAATGGTGGTGGACAATTCGGATCAAATGGATTCTTTCCTGCAAGACACCCACAAACCAAGCGCGGTAAAGAAACATACCTCACCTCGCTCTACCTAGACATGTTGTCATCTCAGCGACATCTCTTCACAACAGCGGTGCATCAAAGTGACACGAAATGGATGCAGGTGATGAACTCGTTGAACTCAGCCAAGTCTAAGTTGGTTCGAGCTGGAAGTTTCATGAAAGTTCCCGCAAAGCCCCCGATAATCAACGAGGTGCAGGCGGACTGACGCGATTGTCTTGATGACTGGATAGCAGGAGCCAGAGGACGCAGAAGACGTTGATGAAGCAGATGATGATGCTGGAGCGTCGAACATCTCCCTGTACCTCAGCGCAGGTTCTAGAGGATAGATGTTCAGAGAATCGTGATGATGTTGCTTCTTCAGGTTTCATCGTGATCTTGGCATGCATGGATGCTTGTTTGTTCATGGTTTGACTTGAAGATGTTGTGGAAACTTTGAATAACGATGATTGCAGATCTTTCAAATGTTTTGGCGAGGAGATTTTGTTTGCAACCCTCCTCAAGTGAATCTGGGAAATGTCGTCCCGCTCTCAGTCTTGCTGGGACTGTACTTCTTTAGAATGGTGAGCAGACGAGTAAGAGCTACCACGGTTTGACATGCTGGGATGCAGACCAATCGGCTCAAGTCGAAGCAATACACTCTCACCTCATGCTTCAATCTTAACGAGCTGCTGCATGTGATCCCATGGAACTCTTTGATCTTCCTTCTCCTCGTCATCTCCTCTGCTGGTCTTCCTCCCCCTCCCCTGTCAAGGTCTGACGGACAAGCAGCGATCCTCGTCGTCGAGTGTCAGCAATGCCGACAAGGGCAGGTCCGGCATGGCATCCTCCTCCGCTTCGACCTGGTCCTGCACTTCGGGTCTGCCTTGCCTCTCACCCTCTCTCGCGTGACTCCCTCTGGTCGGCAGCCGCGTGCTGCTGGCGATCAGGCTCTGCTTGAAGCTCAAGAAGCAGCTGAGGAGGAGGCTGCAAAGTGGTGCGGCGTGAGGGTGGTTGGCTGGCGGGTCTGAGACAGACTGCAGCTGTCAGCTTGAACAAGAGGCGGTTTCAAGACAGGTTTGCCGACTTGGACTTGGGTAACCCGCAGCCCTTGACTGCTCGACTCGACTGATCCCCTCATCAGATCTCACCTACATCTGCGATCGCTTGATTGGCATGGCGTTGCCCTGCGTCGATGGTGACGTCACTTGTGTGGCCCTCTCAGATGCCTGACAACCCCCAGGCGCCATGCACAGGAATGACATCCGCGACGTCGCCAAGTTCTTCTCCACTCGTCACTACGGTCATCCGCCTCCCGTGGTGTCTCGGAGCATGACTGACGACTGGGGTGTCAAGCAGGAAGTTTCCTCATCTTCAACCTCTGTGAAGCACAAGAGGTGCCTGCATGCTCGCCGGCGGTTCGATGAGTGATGACGTGGCATGTGCTCTCGGCAGGAGAGCGGCAACGGAAACTACGACACGCGCCTGCTCTACGGTCAAGTCAAGAAGCTTCCCTTCAGGGATCACAACATCTGCAAGCTGCGGAGCCTCGTCAGTTTCTGCGAGCATGCGACTGAGTTCCTGAACGAAAGCGATGAGAACGTAGTAGCCATACACTGCCAGGCAAGTCACGACCTGACGGCAGCCGCTTGCAAGTTTGAAAGTTTTTTTCGTCAGGGTGGGAAGGGCAGGACAGGCACGTTCTGCTCCTCTCTGATGCTCTGGACGAATCTCTTTCAGTCTGCCGATCTCGCTCTGTCCTACTTCGCCAGTAGAAGGACTGACACGAGCCGCGGGAGCGGTGAGCTACAGAAAGTGGCGGCCCCGTCGCAGATCCGTAAGTGACCGTGTGGACTAGGAGAGTCTAACAGTTGCCGCAGGATACGTCAAGTACATGGAAACCTTGATCAAGGACAACGTGGACTACATCTCCAGCACCAAAGTCATCCTGAGTCGCATCTCGATGCATGGGGTTCCGATGCTGGACCAAGAAGTCTGCAACCTGACGTTCGGTCCGTCCTTGTTCCCCCCCGGCTCCACCCCAGCTGACGTGCGGCATCGCAGTGATCGAAGTGAACGGAGAGCTAGAGTATGATCACGGCAAAGCAGCTGGGATGACTCGTTGCTGCAAGGAGCTGCGGGATGACTGGATCTTCGACGTGGGATTTGTGCTCCTCTCCGACGACGTCGCCGTCAGGTTCTTCTACTTCAGGTGAGGATGACGTGGCACATGCTGGTCCCTCCCAGTCATTCTCTCTCGCAGCTCCGATGCCGAACCCTCGTCGATTGTCGGCAAGACTGCTGAGATCCAGCCGGGGGGGCGCGAGATCATGTACGGCAGTCTAAAGGGGAAGCAGGTGCGTGCGAATAGCTCCTCCTCCTCCTCCTCCTCCTCCTCCCCTTGTCCTCCTCCTCATCGTCCTCTCCTTGTCCTCCTCCTCCTCTGACCTCTCGCCAGCTGTTCTTCGTCCAGTTTCACACGGCATTCCATTCCAACGACCTGACGCTGAGCAAGAGCGAGATCGACGGGGCGTACAAGAAGAAGAGTCACAAGTTCGCCGATGACTTTTCCCTCCGCTTCCACTTCTGGAAGGACATGGGGGTCGACAGCCACGAGAGTCTCGAGGAGTTGTACCAGCCCCCTCGCTCCCCAAAACGCTCTCCTCCTCGCTCTCCCATTCGCTCTCCTCCTCGCTCTCCCAGTCACTCTCCCGGCCGCTCCCCGGCGAGGTCGCCGGATCCGATGCTGGACAGCGAGGCGGGTCGGTACTCGATCCTAAAGTGGGGAGCCTTCCTGTCCCTCCCCCCTTGCCTGAGGGTCTTCAACCTGGCGCTGTGGCTGGACGATCTTTTCCAAGTGATCGCCACTGACTGCCGCGTCTACTCGAGGGGCGAGATCGTCTACAACCCGGAGGAGTCTGACCGCTCCCTGCACTTCATCTCCTCAGGCAACCTCATCCTCGACACCAGCGAGGGCAAGGCCAAGGAGCGAAGCCTGGGCAGCGGGCTCTACGAGGAGGAGATGGTATGGGGGGCGAGGGAGTTCTTTGGCGAGCTTTCCTTCCTCCTCGGAAACGGGCAGGACAACACCAGCGGAGTATTGCGAGCATACTCGGAGCAGGTGGAAGTTCGTTCGCTCAGGCTGTCGGAGCTGAGCAGAGACCCTCTCGGCATCCCCCCCCTCGTCTGTGAGAACCTGAGCCCTAGGGACCTTGACATCCTGTACGAGGCCCTCGCAAGGTGAGAGACTTCTGGTCTTGGCCTGAGGGCTGACAAGGTGGCTGGCAGGCAAGTTTGCAGTGACGCCATCAAGAACGACATCTACCTGCACTTCGTGGCGCTGCAGGTGGGAGGAGGCGGGTGGGCCCGAGGTCGCTGACTGCTCCCCAGCAAAACACCAAGAGGGACAAGAACTCTTCGCTGATTGAGATCCACCAGGCCTCTTTTCTCAACAGCATCCGAGACAAGCACAAGATTCCGGCCATGGAGCCGCACAAGTTTCTGTCCGGGGCCACGTACCTGAGAGGGTCTCGCAAGCGGTCGAAGTCGAACATCTTCCAGAAGGGGGAGATCAAGGGAGTGTTTGTGGTGTTCCAGGACGTGATAGGATACGCCGAGTACATGTGCCAGGTGTCGATCCAGACGAAGCAGATCTCAGGCATTGAAGTGATCGGCGACACTCTGATGATCAGCCTGTCGACTGAAAAGAGCTCGGGGAGGAGAATGAGCGAAGGAAGGAGGGTGAGCGAGGTCGACGATGGGCTCATCGAACGGCTGGGGTCGAGGATGAAGGCGTCTTACAGCTTTCAGTTCGTCTCTTCTGACTGCGCACAGAGCGCGCAGGCGATGATTCTTTCCCTCAAGAACACCAGGGACGATGAGATTGAGACGATCGATGAGGAGCTGTCGAGCCAGCAGGACAGGAATATCGACCCCATGCATGTCGCCAAGTTGTTTCACTTCGTGGACGAGAGCGAGGCTCTAGAGTTCTCCGAGGGCTCGACGCTAGACGAGCTCTTCTCCGTCTTCTCCATTATCTGGTCGAGCCTCGCGCCCTCGTTCCTCCCTCACGTCCTGCTCAGGTACAAGAAGGGCAGCCTCATCATCGACATCGGAGAGACGAGGCGGACTCTCTTCCACATCGTGTCCGGGTCGATCATCGCCTGCGGGAGCGACGGCAACATCCGGGTCAAGCGAGGCAAGGGCGAGCTCTTCGGCGAGGTGAGTTACTTCAGCACCGGCAACAAGGGCGCTCTCTCCAAGGTAAGCTCCTGCCCAGCTGCATCCCACGAGGCTCAGGGGTGTGCAGGTCGTGGCAGAGGAGGAGACGTGCTGCATGGAGATCCATAACGACGTGAGAGGAGGAGCGTTTGGCCCTCGTTGCTGACCCTCCGGCAGGACGTGGAGCGACTGAGAGCTCGGCGGCCTCTCCTGACCGCGCGAATGTGAGCTGAGAAGATCCGACGCTCGCCACTTGCCTCCCCACCTGCCCTCATCCTCCGCTCACTCGTCACTTCACCTTCTCCCCCTTCGCCCCTCCCTGCTCTTATTTCGTCTCCTTCCTTCCTCTCCCTCTTCGTCTTTCCCTGGGCTAACTGAATGTTGCAGAAATCGAGCCATCGCCCGTAACGTGGCCTACCGGCTACAGGAGCAGTTCAGACGCATCAGCCACAGCCCGATTTACATGAGCTCTAAGGGCTGAGAGAGGAGAGGAGGAAAGGGACACGAGGGAGCAAATCAGTCTCGCTGCTGCTTCATGCTCTCATGGTACCGCTGACTCTTCCTAATCCACTAGGGTTTCACCATAACTTTCTCACTACTGGCGGGGGGTGACGCCTTGGAAGAGTTCGTACTGCAGTACTATCAGGAGGAGGAGGAGGAGGAGAGAGGAAAGAGGAGAGAGGAAAGAGGAGGAGGAAGGAAAGGAAAGGAAAGGAAAGGAAAGGGGGTTGTGGGAGGAGGCTCAGTGTTTCTTACCTGTCGCTCGGAGATCTGCCTCTGGGCCTCGCGCAAGAAATCAAGGAACGAGGAGCACCTGCTACCTCATTAGAATCCCTTCCTGTCCTTCCCCTTCCCCTCCCTTTCACTCTCATCTTCCCTTCCCCTCCCTTTCACTCTCATCTTCCCTTCCCCTCCCTTTCACTCTCATCTTCCCTTCCCCTCCCTTTCACTCTCATCTTCCCTTCCCCAGCATTCCTCCCTTGGCTGCTCTCCTTGGCATTCCCCGCCTTCCATCGCTCACCTCTTAACTCGAGCTGCTCGAGCATCGCTGGCAGAGTCGAGGAGCATCGCCGCCATGTCGATCGCCGCTCTGATGACACATCAGCTGGGCAAGGAGGAAGGATTGAGACCGACCGGTGCTCCTGGAGCTCGAGAGCAAAGCTGACCTCGAACCTGCCCTTGGGTCAGACGAGCACTTGATACCCAGACCTGAAGTTTGACCTGTCCACGGCTTCCTTGCAAGGCTGCATGCTGATATCTGCGACGCTCTCTGCATCATCGTCACCCTCCTCATCCTCCTCATCCTTTCTCCTCTCACCCGCACATTCATGCGCGCGCTCCCTTAGGGCCTTGGCAATCTCGTCGCCAATGAGCTGCTTTATCTGAGGTCTACGTGAGAGGGGAAGGGAGGGGAGTCCAACACCCTCACCTGCTTCTCCGTCTCATGCCCAGCGCTTCTGATTGCCAGCCAAGAACTCGCTGCTGCTCCTAGCGCTGCATCCGAGTGACTTGGAGAGACACGAGGAGTCCTCGCCCTCACCTCCCATGAACGCATACGCGTATGACGCCATCAAGTTGCAGCACATGACCGCAATGAGCGAGCTGGACACCGGATGAGTACTCGAGGAAGGAAGGGAGGAGAAGGGAGGGAGGAGGGGGGGAGGAGAGAAGCTAACCGGAAGCCATTGGTTACTCCCCAGTAAGAGATCAGCCTGGTACTGAAGAAAGGAAGTGCAGAGGAGATAGCTGTGAGCAGGGACACAGTCACTCGAAGACCCGAGGACCTGACGACCAGCCTCCGCCTCTTACCGGAGATTCTGTTCGGCTTCTCGCGGGCGTGCTGTAGGGCGTCTCTTTGCCCTGCAGCTCCCCAAACCGCAGCTACGATGTCCTCCATCTCAGTGATCTGACACTTGCGTTCAGTCGGCTGAAGAAAAGGCAAAGGGCTGACCTGAAGATGCGCCTGCTTGCCCAGGTGGCGCTCGACTTCCGATGACTTCTTCTCGACTTGAGGAAGCAGGATGTCCATCGTCCATCGTTCCGAGATCTCCTCGAGCTTGCACCGCAGGTATTGCTCCACATGGTGAGCAAACTCGCACCGGGTGGTAGCGGAGAAAGCTCCAGTCAGCCCGACTCGTTGACTAACTTGCGCATGCATGGCGAGCTCGGGGACTTTATCCGCCAACCCCCTGAAGTGATCCTCTGCGAGCTGCCTAACCTCATCGCGCTGGCGGCTGTAGTCCAGGCGAACTTGTCGGAGAGTCTTCTCGTGCTGGTCTTGGAGCTCCAAGAGCCTCGGCAGACAAGACTCCTGCAGCGACCTCACCTGCAGCGCCACAACCTCGTCAGCTTCCCGCGACCAGCTCCAACTCAGCACCTCCGTCGGCTGCCTTTCGAGCAGAGCTCCCGTCCTCTCCACTTGGTCATACAAGAACTTGACGAATCTGGACGCAAGACGGATCATGTCTTGTGACCTCGCATGCGCATGACGCTCGAGAAACGAAGCAAGCCCTCCCTCCAGAGCCTTCATTTGCGAGATTGTTCGATCCAGCACGGCTCGACGGTTGTTCACGCCAGGTACACAGAAGATGGGAGCTTTCAGCTCAGCAGCCTTGGCTCGGGCCTCGGAGAAGACCTGCGGCTGTTACTGACCTCCCTCTCTCGCATACATCTCCACGGTACCTCGGCATCCTCGGTCCCGTCGCTGACGACGACGATGAAGACAGATCCCTTCAGGATGCATCAAGAAATCTTCACGACCTCGAGCTCGAGCTCTTACCTCGGGCAGGTACTGCAGAGCTTGTCTGACAGGCCACCAATCGAAGCCCTTCAGCAGCGTCAGCGACGGGAAAGAACCAAGGCCTCTGCAAGCTTCCCCACCTCGTCTGCGTTCACCACGAACACGATCCCGTCCGCCTGCCTCTTCAAGGCCGTGGCAACGATGTCCACCTTGAGCGAGTGAGGAGGAGATGAGGGCGATGAAACATTCAGTCACCTCCTTCACCGTCGGCCCATCAACAATCTCAAGACCGTCTACCAGCGCTGAGGCCCCTCCAAGGAACACCTGCCACACCATCCATCAGAATGGGTCCTGGCTCCTCCTCTCCCCTCTCGCTGTACAACAGCACGAGGGCACACGGCATGCTTTCATACCTCAAGGCTGTCAACCAGCGCAAGCGTTGACGAGCGGATGTCCTCCCACGAGCAGTCCATGGGCTCGTTGTGGTGGCCCAGCACCTCCACCAACTCCTTCTTGCTGTTGCTGCGGTGTGCGCATGATGAACGGCAGACAACGAGATGATCCTTGCCTGCGAAAGGGGAACGAGGCTCCATTGATGCGCAGGTGCTCCCGAATGGAAGGATGCAGCGAGTTATCCGAGATCTGTCAAAGAAAGCATGTCAGAGTTTTCCATTGCACGGAACGAACAATCGCAAAGGGCATGACCTCTTCTTCAGTCAGGTCTTGTCGAAAATGTACAAATACAACAAACTCATTCTCCAACACTTGCCCAGCATCGTTGTTGCGATAACGTACCGTTACCTTGTCACTGGACAGAACCCTCTCGTCAGAACCCTCCTCTTTTCACCTTCACCCTTAGAATATCTCCCCCCCCCCCGCTTCCCCCCCTCTTCCTTCTCCCTCCCCCCAGCATCACCTGAAAGGACAGTGCTGCGTATCAATCCCTAAGATAGCTTTCACGAGGCTACGCTTCATCCTTCGGGCACTCAGTCAGCGACACGCATAGTCGACAAGGAACTCATTTCACCTGCCCGCTGAGCCAGACAGGAACAGAGTCAGTTGGTGGTTACAAAGTCTCTGCAAGGTGTCGTATGCGTGCTGGTGGCAGTTGACCAGGCCCGTGTCGTCATATGAGCGCAACTTTGGCCACAGACTGTTGATGGCATTCCGCAGAAAGACCCTCCGATCCATGTAGTTCTTGCACACACTCCTCAGCCTCGAGTTGTCAAATTTTCTGCATTGACAGCATCAGCATCGAGAGGAGATGCAGCATGGCGCTGCTCACCGCACGTATCCCTCCCATGTCTGGTTGCTCAGCGTTGGGCAGCGGTCGATCACAGTCTCGCAGCCAGCGTCATCGAACATTACAGCCTCCCAGGTGCTGTCCCGGTTCAGCAAGATCCAGTCTTCTGGGGGCCTACGAGCAGACGGGGCTCCGCTCTGAGCCCAACTTGAGTAGGACGTGTGGCTGGAGGTCATGGCTTGTGTAAGTGCCTGCACGTCAGGTCAAAAGGTGTAAATGGGAGACAGGTCAAATGAAGTTGTAGCCAACAGTGAATGGCTGGGAGAAAACGTTGGATATTAGCTAGAGGGGAGATACGGCAGGGTACAAGATGCAGTAAAAGCCATCAAGAAAAGAAACAGAAATGGGTAGGCCCAAAGTTGTGTGTGGAATCATGCAGCTTCAGCAATAATGGAAGATAGCATGTGGGGTAGGTGCAGGGGATGAGATGGTATGAAGGTAGAAAGGGGATGCGAACAGAGGGCAGAGAGGAGAGGGAGGGAGGAAGGAGGAGAGGAGAGGAGAGGAGAGGAGAGGAGAGGAGAGGAGAGGAGAGGAGAGGAGAGGAGAGGAGAGGAGAGGATATCAGGAGGGAGAAAGCTTGCGGCAATGCTGCATTATCGATCTGCATTGCAAACCCTGGAGAAAAAATGTGCGGCAGATTCAAGGCTGGTAGAGATTGAGGGGGTGGTTTTGATTTGGGGGTTGGTAAAGCCTTCAGACATTGGGGTGGGGGTATGCAAAAATTGATTAATCCAGGAGGGTTTAGGAATGAAGGGGTAGTTCAGATTAAGTCCAAGAGGTCATTAACGGGGTAGGGTGTGATGATGTAGGGGTACTCTAAAAATGAAGTTTATTTGATTACGTTGGGTGGGATGGACTGATCTTTGAGGGGTGGGTACTCCATGTTGCAGCAAAAGTAATGATGGCAGAAGCAAGGGGAAATGGAGGGAACAGGGGGAGGGGAGGAGGAGGAGGAGAGATGGCGAGGAGAGCAGGAGAGCAGGAGAGGATAAGGAGAGGAGCTGTGGAGTCGAGGTCAAACGAGGGATCATTGGAAGGAAGCCTTTGGTTGGGGGTGTCGGGAGGGGTCAGGGAGGCGGGAAGGTGGGGGGGGGGGAGCGAGATAGAGGCGGAAAAGGTTGGGAGGTGAACAGGAAGGTGGAGAAGAGTGACGTCGAAGGTGGTCAGAAGAGGGGAAGAACAGTGGGCATGAATTGTGGGTGAGGAAAAGATCCTGATCTGACGAGGTAGTGGAAGAATCGAAACTTTGGGTGGAGGAGGAGCTGGTCGGGCAAGCCGTTTGTGAAGGTTTTGGTGTTGTTGCTTGTGAGGCAAGAGCTTGACAAGCTCGCAAGAATGAAGGTTGAGGAGCACTTGTACGGGATGTTGACTTCCTTGCTGTGTCTTGTGGACGAAGAGCTGTTGTGCATACAGGTCAAGTTGCCGCTAGCAAAGTTGAAACGCTGATGAGCGCTGTTGCCTAGTGTTGTGAATATGTTGGTGGAACAGTATGTACAGGAGAGAAGTGACGATCAGCATGAGAGAAGTGCTTCGTTGTCTGTTTGAATGATTCCGATGAGTTTCCTCGCTTTGCGCAACGATGCTTTTTCCACAACTACAATCCTGGTACCTCACTTTACCAGTTCGAAGGTGGTTCAGAGTCCTCGGGTCGACTCTGCGTTCGCTCCGAGAAGATCGTTTGGCGCAAGACAGTGCTAGATGTCTGTCTGGCACTCTCTAGGATATGACGAAATCCATTTGAGTGATGTCATAAATAAAGTCTTGCCCTCCATGGCATTCTCGCCTTCTCCATCACGGTCGCTACCTCTCCTCCTCCTTCTCCTTCTGCTCCTTGTGACCTTCATCTTGACAAGCATCATTCCCTTCTCTCTCGTCTTCTCGCTCTGCTCTCCTCGTCTGCCTCCCTTCGTGTCCCCTCCCTCGTCTCTCCTTATTTCCCGACCACCCCACCCCTTCCACTGCGATTTTTTCATTGTACACTACCCACCCAGTGCGGTAAATTCTCGAAGCCATGCAGAAGATTTCGCTTGTCCTCGCATTCATGTTATTCGCCGGTGAGAGGAGGAGGAGGAGGACAGAGGGCAGCGAGAAGAGGAAGAGGAGACCAGAGACATGGGAAAGGAGAGAAGAGAAGAGTGGTGTGAAGAAAGGAAGGGAGGGGAGGGAGAGGATGGGGAGGATCGGAGCATAGCGGGAACATTGGATGTAGTGGGTATGCCAACAGGCATCTGAAAGAAGTTACGTCGAGAAGTCACGATGTAGGAAGAGATTTGTGAGAGTAGGAGGAGAAGATACCTAGTCCGAGAGAGTTGTGATGAGTGGGGGAGGGGGGAGGCGGGAGGATCCGTGGGGTCGGGGTAGCGGGGTAGCAGAGGGGGAGGGAGGGGAGGGGAGGGAGCACCTAAAGTGCAAGAACGAGGTGAAGACAAGTGAGCTAGCAAGATAGAAGTGATGAAGGTGACGAGGAAAGAGCTGAAGAGCTAGAGGACAAAGAATTCTTCTCTGAGATTTGGGACTAGGAGTGAACTCTTGGACGGTTCCGTCGTCTCCATTCACAAGGTCAAAGGCTACTTCAGCGCCTCCCCCCCCGCCCCTCATTTCTCTTCCCCCTCTCCCCTTTTCTTCTCTCTATCATCTTCTCTTCTCGTCCCCTCTACCTCTTCTGCTCTTCTCTACCCTCCTGCATCTCACCGGCTCCACAGAGCCTCTGCTTCCCTCCGCAGCCGTGCGGTCCGACCGCTTCGAGGAGGGGGCGGCACTGTGATGTCGGACGCTGACAAGGTTTGCTGGCATGCCGTCTTGTCTTGCATTCCTCTCATGTCTTGCATGAAGATCATTGTGAAGAAGCCGACAGAGAAAGAGAAAGAGATCGCTTCGAACTGGCCCACCTGGTGAGTGATAATACATCAGCAGACGCACCTGGCGGGGGCTTCTTGAGCAGCCCGTGTACCTTGATGGTTGTGCATTGAAATTTCTCTTTTCGCCTCTCACCATCCCTTTTATCGCATTTCCTTTCTCTGCTTCAGTTCCCTCCGTCCTCTCTTGTTTATCCCTGACATATCAGACTGACCGTGACTTAGGCAATGTGGAGTGTCGAAGTTCCCTTGGTCTTATGACTCCAGAGAGACTTGTCTTGTAAGTTTCAATATTTGCCTTCCCCCCACACTCTCTGCAGTCTCCTCGCCCCTTCCTCCCCCCCTTCCCACCCCACGTGCTTCCTTTCCCTGCTCAGCCTCCTCTGACATGCTTGGTCTTCGCCTCTCCCCTCCCCTTCTTGACAGTCTCTCACTGGAGTGATACTATCCTCGCTTCCTCGTGATAATTTTTGGCTCCTCTTCAGGTGCTCGAGGGCGAGGTAATTGTCACTCCCAACAAAGGCGAGCCTGTTAAGATCCAGGTCTTCCTTCCCCTTCAACTCCCCCCCCTCTCCCCCCTCCCGTCCCACTTTTGTTCTCCTCCTCCTCCTCCTCCTCCTCCTCCCTTTCCCTCCTGCTTTCCTGCAACCAGCTGTGTTCTCCCCATCCCTTCGGCCACCTTCCCAGTTCCTGCATCCTCCTCTCTTATCCGACCAACAGGCCGGCGACATGGCGGTCTTCCCGCAGGGCATGTCCTGCACGTGGGACGTGACGAAGGCTATTCGCAAGCACTACAACTTTGATTAGCCTGTGGATTCTGCTGTGACGGCGGCGGCCTTTGAACTTTCGAACTGTTATTTGAAGTATCGGAACTAGAGCTGCAGGCTGAGGGCCCCGGGCCCGGCCCACGGCTGGCGGGGGCCGGAGGGAAGAGGGGGCAAGGGAGTGAGGACTGAGACGGTATCTTACACGGTGTGTGTGGGTGAAGCTGATCAAAACGGTTGACCGTCCGCCGCAGTGTTCAAAGGTTTGCTTGTCCGATCATTCTACCAGTTCGTACTGCACTACCTCACCCGGCCGCAAAGTCTACCGTACAGTAGCACCGTACGGTGTATCAGATCCGTTCAGTCGGACAGCTAGGGCTTACAAATCCGCCCCAGAGTACGGTAAGGAAAAGAGAAGGGGCAGCAACGTTCGGTGGGTTCCTGGTGAAAAAAAAACAAACGAGGCTCCCACGACAAATTGCGGTACTGCTACCGGTGGTTTTCGGATTGTTTAGAGTACTACCCCCATATTCCCATCTGTGTACCGGTCTATCCCTGGGTACTACTGCTCGCATCCTCCAAATGTACCCACCCCCTTTCCCTCCAGGTACCAGAAAGTTCCTTTGCCTCCGCTCCCTCCCATCCTACACCGCACGTACTCGCTATGTCAGACAGGTTCTTTAATGCAGGCTGCTGGGACATCCAAGGTACATCCTGGCAAGAGTATGAGCGGTATCCAATGCTCAAACTTCCACCACCACCGGCAGCAGCAACAACAACACCAGAACCAGAACCAGAACCAGATCTAGAACCAGAACCACCAACATATGCTCCTCTTAATCATCATCAGGCTGAGGTCAGTGGAAATACGGAGTTTGCAGAACAAACCCAAGCACCTACTCATTCGGACCATGTTATGAAGATGATTGACAGCAACCTGCTGGACATTGGATTCGAGCCTCAACAAGGCTTCGATCAAACAAATCCGTTTTCCTCTTCGCTTCTCACATCCAACAAAGAAGTTTCGGATACGAACCAGCAGCTCTCCAGTGTCAAAGAAAGACCTGGACCTAGGCGAACTATGTTGACAGAATTGTTCCCGAAACAAGCAGCAAATCCGAATCCCATCGGGGAGACGGAAAGACAATTCTTGGATGAGGGCTGCACGGTGTTTGGCGACGTCTTTGGTAAGATTGAGCCCGATGAGTCGAGAGGAACTCTGTGGTCATCAGACGCATTGAGCCCAAGCACGTTGACACAACGTCTGACCTCAAGCAGGTTACCATGCAACGACATATTGAGCACGACAACAGATCAGATTAAGCTCCAGCGTGCAAGCGAAGCGACGAAAGCTCTCGACAACGAGCAGGCAGCGAGCACATCTTGCTCAAGCAGCGAGCACCTGTTGCTTAAGCAGCGAGCACCTGTTGCTCAAGCAGCGAGCACATCTTGCTCAAGCACTTCCTCGTCCTCCGGCTCGATGACTTGCGTGCCAACAACTCCCAAGGAGTCTTACTGCTCTAAAAGACAATTGGTTGCTGTGGAAGTTGACGGGCCTGCCCTGCCTGCTTTTCACAGCCACAAGTCAGCATTGCTGGATTCCATGTTGCTGTCGATTGTACAACAAACCAGCGCCCGGATGAACTTGGCTCCAGACAAGCTCAAGACGTTTGCATTGAGTCTCCTGCTAGATGCTTACGCTGTACAGACTGTTCTTCCATCGAAGCAATCGAATCAAGTGCTGCACTACAAAGTCCGGGCCTTTGTTGAAGCTCTCATCAAATCGCCACTCGAACTGGACAGCGAAAGTTCTTATGTCGTGTGCGTTCGTGTCGAGACGGCAGAAGAAGACTTTGATTGGACTGCTGCAAAGAAGAATCGAAGGATCATGTACAGAGAGCAGGGCGTGCTCTGGGAGCTCATCGCTGTCGTTTCTGCTGTCTCTCTCGAGCAGCCGACTGCAGAGCAGTTTCAACATCACAAAGTCAGGGTTATCAAAAGAACGATGGGCATTGATACCGACTCCCAGAACGAGCAGGAGCAGGAGCAGGGGGATCATAACTGGAGTGCTCAGCTGTCCAACTTTGCGAATAGAGCAGGCCTGCAAACTTGGGTTGTTGACGCACAAAACAGGAACAATTTCAACCAGTCCGTTATGCAGGATGCCGATGGGGTCTACAAGCTGGTGCTGATCTACTCCCCAGACAAGGCGGAGCGCGAGAACAAGAAGGTTGACCACAAGAACAATGCCAAGAAGCAGAAACTTCAAGAAAAGAAGAAGGCAGACGCCGCCAGGAAAGGTGAGAGTCTCAAACTCGATCTCGTGCCATTGAAGGAGCCTCGCCTTCGAGTGACTCCCACGGTTTGGCAGGCCCTGAGACCGTCACAGAGTCACGCCGTGCCCAGCGGGCCGGGGGGCCGCGGGGCGCGCCGCCGGCCGCCGCCCCGCACTGCGGACCTGACACCACCCGCCGGTCACCCGCCGCACCCGGGGCCGCCGCGCGAGCCTGAGTCGCCGCAGGCGGCGGCGGCCGCCGGGCCGCCCGGGCCGGTAGCCTTGCCGCTAGTAGCCTAGTAGTACGGTAAAGAGCCTGAGATCAAGTTCACTGCCACGGTGAGTAAAGAGCCTAAGATTTTTCGAACTTGCGGTCTGACCCGTTTGAATCTTGCCAAGCCTGTTGCCGCAGTGCACTGAACGGCGGGCCCCGGTACCGTGGAGCCCGGCTCCGACGGTCGGACCGACGACGATCATGAGGCGTCCGACTGCCGGCGGTAACCGTCACGGCCACGGCCGGCGTCACGGTTCAAGTCAGTACGGTAAGTCGATTCAGCCGGGGCCGAACCGTTGAACTTCCCGGCCGCCCGGCCCGGGGGAGTCCGCCGGGCCCCCGGGAGTCCGGGCGGGTCGCCGCGTGACAGTGATCATCCGATGATGAGTACCGTACGGTCATGGCGATCGGACCGCCGTACGGTAACGTTAGTACGGTAACGGGCCGGCGGCCGGGCGTCCGCCACGTACGGTCCCGTCGCCCGGCCCGCCACCGCCGCCGCCGCCGGCTCCCGGCCCGGCGGGATCCGACGATCCCGGGCCGCCGCCCCGCCGGCGGCCCGCTGTCCGATCGTCCCGGAGTCCTATCCGGCGGGACCCGACACTGATCCCATCCGACAGCGGCTCCCGTGTTGCGCCGTGACAGACAGACATCTTCCATGCTTTGTGATGCTCTGGCACTCCGCAGCCGGCTCAGTAGCATGTGGCAGGACATGGAAGCCCGTCGACATGAACATGGCAGCAGCTACTGAGCATCAAAGAGGAGGCAGAGGTAGACAGCGTGAGGCAGAGGGCAGGAGGAGGAAGGGATGAACGGGATAACGAGGAGACTTCGGTGGATTCAGATATCAGAGTTGGAGTGGGTCGGAGGGATGAGTATCAACATTGATGAGAGCGTAGGAGATGGTCATGCGACAATGGTGCAGAAGCTCAAAAAGTGTTAATTAGGTAGAGGAGAGCGAGGAGAAGGTGGTGTGGCAAGAGCAGAGCTGACAGAGGAGGAGGTAGCGGATTCGCAAAGTGAGTCGTAGCAGCTGGATGGATAGCATTACAGCGAGGGAAGTAAATAGCGAGTGGATCAGCAGTGATGAACATGATTATCACAGGCCGTCACTTCATACGCTTATATCGTAGACACATGTACATCTCATTCATTTCACATTCTCCGCGATCTCTCATTCTGCTGCACAGAAGCCTCCCTCGTTGGGACGAGCGCGATGAAGGTATCCATGCAAGAGCAGATCGCTTTCTGTGTGATCGCCTGGTTCGGCTTCGGTCAGGATGCGCTGATACAGCAGGCAACAGCTGACTCTTGCCCGGCAGCTCATATCACACCCTGCGATACCCTGCGACCCGTCATGTCGAGCCGAGGGCATGCGGAGAGGAGCCTGGTGAGCCGACATGCGGTGCGTCCTCGGTGAAGGTGTTGGAGCAGGTCCGGCTGAGAGGAGGAGGGAAGCAGAGCTCGTTCCAGAAGGCATTCACGGGGATGCAAGATTCGGTAGGGGAGGAGATGGGGGTTGGAAGAAGGAGGATGACAGTGTTGAGAGGTTTGGGACGAACTGCTGGCAGAGAATACGGGCGATACTCCGTGAGTGGCAGCTGGACATGTTACAGGATGATGATGAGAATGGTGGTGGAGAAAATGATGATGATGTTTGAAGAGATGATGATGGAGATGATGATGGTGGTGGAGATGATGATGATGTTGATAACGTTTATGACGATGGTGATGATGACGACGACAATGACGATGATGTCAACAACAGTCTTGAGGAAGGGTTTGAAGACACACGGTTGTTTCAGAAGCTGTCATCGTTCGACCCCAGACTCTTCAACATCACCGACGAAGGTTCTTACGAAGCTCTTGTTTGTGCGCCTAACAGGCTGCTCAGACTCGAGCGCGGGAGAAGGACCCAGGTGAAGGACGTCTGACGTCTCTGATTGCTTGCTTGTCGTTTCATGGCATCCTGTTGTCTCCTTCCTGTCCGCCTCGTCCTCTCCTGCTCATCTTGCCCTCCTCTCCTCTCCTCCCTTATTGCCCCTTTTACATCAGTAGTTTACCTTGCACCTCCTCCCATCTCCCTCTTCCCCACCGCCCTCTCTCTCTCCTTCTCCCTCTTTCGCTCGTTCTCCCTCTTCCTTTCCCTTTCTCTTCCCTCCTCACCCCATGTCAGATCCGTGAAGGCAGAATACTTCCAAGATCGAGGTCAGAACGCTTCCTCCCCTTGCTTGCACACAAGCTGGGATGGGGCGAGCTGGGAAGGGGACGTGCGAGTTCCGCAAGACTGCGGAGACCTTTGGAAGGCTCTCCTGCACACCAGATGGGGAAGGTGAGGCCGCAAACTGTGGCTGGACCCCAGCTGACTTTGATGACAGTCGAATTGTCCTCGACAAAGGGATTTGGAGGCTGCACGACTATGGCGAGTTGATGCTGGGAGGAGGAGAGCGAGGAGCTGGAGGGCAGCTGGAGGAAGAGGTGGGACAGGGGAAGGAGGGAAGCTTGTCCGGTCTGCAGGTGGAGGGGGCGGGGGCTGGTAGCACGGAGATCAATGGCTGTTGGAACTTGGAAGACAGGCGGAGGAACGTCGAGAACTCGTTTCGAGTGAGTTGCATGGGAGGGGATGGGGAGAGGAGGTGAAAGTTGCTGCAGAGCCTGACCTTCAACTACTCGGACGCTCTCGAGAAACAAGCGAGAATCCTCAGTCATGGTCTGAACGTCTTCCTGTCCCCTTGCCAACACGCTCACCTTCATGGCCCGTCCTCTGCGATGATCTTGTCTTCTCGACCTCTTGCTCAATTCCTTCGGTTCTTCCGTGTCTGTTCCTTCTCCACGTCATCGTTCTCGATCTTTGTGATGTAATCCTCCTCTCGCCTCCTCACTTGGGTTGTCTCATACAGCAAACACCTACTGTCTCGACATCATGTCTGGCTCCTGGAGCTTCAATGACTGTGAAATTCGCTCATACAAGGTGCCCTTCCTTCCTGCCTGCTGCCTGCTGCCTGCTGCCTGCTGCCTGCTGCCTCCTGCCTCCTGCCTCCTGCCTCCTGCCTCCTGCCTCCTGCCTCCTGCCTCCTACAACTGACGGTGCACTAGTCAACGTGCTTGAGAGGTAGCTCAAGCTCGTCGCTGCGGTCTGACTTCTACCTTCCTCGCTTCTTCCTCACGCGCCGCAGACTGCAGAGATGCGTTATTGGAGGAGACGATCCGGGGACATCGGACAGGGAGAACTCGCCGGCGGAGATGATGCAATACGTGAATGAGATCCGAAAACGAGCAGGTTGTTCCTTCGCATGCCTCGTACCCTTTTACCGAGTTGTTGAGATGTGTTGTACTGAGCTATTGAGATGTCTTGTATCAAGTGAAGTATATTGTATCTAACATTGTTGTCGATGCAGAGAACGGAGTGATTCTTAAGGACACTGCGACAGCGTACTTGACTGACTGTGAGATTTGGTATAACCTGCTGATCGCCTTGCACGCTGCTTTCCATGCTTCCAGTCTGCCAGTCTGCCAGCTTGCCTGCTATCACTTCCCTATTCCTCCTCCTTTCTCTGCTCATCCTCGATTCTCCTTCTTGACGCTCGTGCTCTCTGTGTTGCCCCTCGCTCCTACTGTCACACCTTCGCCTCTTCTTCCTTGAAGTCTCCTCCTTCTCCCTCCCCTCCCCCCATCTTCCCCTCCTCTCTCCCTCCACTCATGTCTCCCTCCTCGCTCTCTTCCACTCATCTCTTTCTCCTGCCTCTCCTCAATTCATCTCTTCTTTCTCCTCCTTCTCGACAAATCTCACGCGTTTCCTCCCTTGACTTCAGTTTCACCGGCTCTTATTACGGGAGCGCGATCTCGTGCAAGGAAAACTCTAGCGCTGTTGCCTTCAGCTGCAACTTCAGAGAGAACTCTGCAGGTCAGCAACGAGATTGCAAGGCAGTTTCTTTGGCTCACCTTGATGCCAACATGTTGCCTCTGAAGTTTCTGCCTCTGTTCTCCTTGCATCTACTTCTGTCATTCTTCTCTCTCTTTTTCTACTTGTACTGGATCTTACTTTTCCTCTTCTCTCTCTGTTTCTTTTTCTCATTGTTTGTTGTATGGTTTCATGGACCATCTCAACATTTCCGCAGCAATCGTCATGCATGACTCATGCGGGATTATCTTGACCAATTGTTCCTTCAAGAACAATGACTTTGTAAGCATACCGTTGTTATGCCATGTTGATATGATATGATATGATATGATATGATATGATATGACATGATATGACATGATATGATATGATATGACATGATATGACATGATATGACATGATATGACATGATATGATATGATATGATATGATACGAAATGATATTACATGACATGGAATGATACGAAGTGTTCCTATACGATATTACTTGGCATGATATGATCTTGATATGATCTTGATATGATCTTGATATGATCTTGATATGATCTTGATATGATCTTGATATGATCTTGATA